AATTGGTTCAAAAAAACATCGCTATGGGAAAACATCGCTAAGCGAAACACCATTTCCCATAGGAATGCATTGAAAACCGGTTACTGCGCTCCAATGGGAATGGATTACCGTCCTTAAGTGAAAATCGCCATAGGAAACATCGCTAAGCGAAACAATGTTTCCCCCATTGGAATGCATTGAAGCCTATTCAGTGCATTCCAATGGTTTTGCGATGTCTGTTTTAGCTATTTTTAAAGTTTCTTAAAATGTTCAAAAACTGTTTTAAATGCTTGGGATCGTTAGTGCACCTTGTAAAACCTTTGCAAACTTAATTTGGCTTTGTCCTGACTCTTCGTTAATTTTTGGTGAATTTTTTCTCCCCCATTGGAATTGAACTGTAGGTTTGACAGCTGTCAAGAAGAGTCAGAACGAAGAGTCAGAACAAAGCCAAATTAAGTTTGCAAAGGTTTTACAAGGTGCACTAACGATCCCAAGCATTTAAAACAGTTTTTGAACATTTTAAGAAACTTTAAAAATAGCTAAAACAGACATCGCAAAACCATTGGAATGCACTGAATAGGCTTCAATGCATTCCAATGGGGGAAACATTGTTTCGCTTAGCGATGTTTCCTATGGCGATTTTCACTTAAGGACGGTAATCCATTCCCATTGGAGCGGATTAACCGGTTTTCAATGCATTCCTATGGGAAATGGTGTTTCGCTTAGCGATGTTTTCCCATAGCGATGTTTTTTTGAACCAATTAACATCGTTAAGCGAGGCGCCACTGTATTCAGTTTGTTGCAAAGCATAGCATTCAAGTACATTTCCATAAGTCAAAGCAGTTAGCAAATTCCAGCTATAAAAATAAAATTAAAAACCCTAAAAATAGCTTGAAAGGCAGGCAAGAGATAGCCCCCCCTTACTCAATCCTTACCCTGAACTACATCCTAGCATAATACTTAAAAATAGCAATTGGAACTCAAAAGTCCATCCTCAAAATCAGTCCAAAAATCCAAATCAAAAATCCAGTTAAAAATCCAGTCTTCTCTCTGTCACCATTCTCCATTTTTCTTCCATGCTGGGACCACCCTTCTTCACTCTCCTGTGACATAAACCAATCAGGACGAAGGGCTGTCTTAGCCCCAATAACCTAAACCATGACACATCTCTTTCAGCGGCTCTCTCTCAAGACAGCGCCTCTTGCACCCTCCATCTGGAACTGCAGCCTGCCTGCCGGCAGACAGGCAGGCTAACTACAGTTCCTGATGGAGAGTGCAAGAGGCACTGTCCTGAGAGAGAGCCACCGAGCAAGGCGAGGCTTTTTTTGAATCTTAACAGCAGAGGACGCGTGGGCGCTTTGGGGGGGGGCAGGCAAGGCGGGGGCTACAAACTATCATCCAGCAGGCTGCAAATGGCCCCCGGGCCGCATGTTTGAGACCCCTGATCTAAGGTATCTGGCTGTGAACCCAGAGGTTGGAAGTTTGATTGCTACTGTGCCTCCTTGATAGGAGGGACTGTACTGGATAATCCTTTTCAGTTCTGAGATTATTATTTAGAGCTGGCTGGATAGCTCAGTGGTTTAGGTTTAGTGGTTTAGACTGTAGAACCAGAAGTTGGGAGTTTGATTTCCCACTGGCTTCATTGTGTGGCCTCAGGCAGGATGCAGAGTCACAAGAAGAGAATGGTAAACCACTTCTGAGTATTCTTTACCTTGAAAACCCTGAAAAGGGGTTGGTATAAATCAGATTTGACTTGATGGTACATGATGATGATGAGTTATTAATTAATTAATTAATTATCTACATATTGTCCAAAAAGTAGGTTAGATGGAGGGGAGGTTCTGTGAAAGAAGGAGAACAGGTCACACTGGTGGAAGCAAAACATTCTTCAAATGAGATATCCTGAAGTGTTTATTATAGCAATGGCAGTCACATCATAGTGGGTATAAGTGGGAGACAATCCAGTGGAAGAAGCTCTTGCAGATACATATTTTATCCAAGAATTGTTGTAAATTTTGATAGGATTGCATCCTTATAGTAAAAGATCCTTTAATCACCACATCCATTGAACTAAACAAAGTCTGTTGCTTGTTCTATGCAGAACCCATTGCTGAAAGTTTAATTCCCATAGGCATTATGAGCTTCAAATGTTAGCACAACCTATCAGGCAACGTTTCCTCCCAATTTGTTGTTAAAATGAAAAGGAGTGTGTGTATGTGTGATTTCAATGAAGCTTATGTTTCTTAGGCAAGCTTCTGCTTTCCGAACACTGTCTTGTCCTTTGATGCTGCTGCATTCTTGGTGCAGATACTACATTTAGTTTTAGAAGAGGTAGCCATGTTTGTCTATTACAAATATACTACAGAGTCCGTTAATTGCCTGAGTTTTGCTCGTCTTGGCAGACTCCTCATGATTTTCATCTTTGTTTTTCTCTCAGTTAATTGCTAAATTGAACAGAATTGGGAAAAGGAGCAAGCTCAGCTGATTTAGGACTACGCTTGCCCCTGGAACCTCTCTGTTCAAGCCACAGGAATCTCTTAGGAGAGCTGTGTGCTGACAAGGTGCGCTGCCGGCCCTTTTCCACAAGCGCCCAAGCCGCCGGCGAGTGATGCCTGAGAGTGGAGCTTGCCCCCAGCCCAACCTTGAAGAGCGCCTCCAGCCCACCAACAGCAGCTGCCGCCGCCTCAGCCTCTCCCAGGAAAGCGGCTCTCTGGCTCTCTTTCTCTCTTGGCACCCCCAGCACCAGCCCAGCCAGTGGCCGCCTCAGCGCCCGGCGGTGCTTCCTCCTCCTCATCCTCCTCTTCATCCTGCTTCAGCTGCCTCGGCTCTGGAAGCTGCCTGGGCTCGCCTCGCAAAGTTTGCTCCTCTGTCATGGTGGGGGTAGCTGCTGCTGAGTGCGCTTTTTTTGATGGGGCCCTCAGAGGAAGGTTGCCAGAGCTCCGTGTGTGTTTGTGTTTGTGTTTGTGTGTGTGTGTGTGTGTGTGTGTGCGCGTGCACGCGCACCAGTGGGGGCGTGCCCTGTTCTGTTTAATTTCATGGGTAGCAGTGGGGGCTTTTCTCCTTTGGCAAGGTGAATTCTGTGAGAGGCTTTTTAATTTTATGTTGTGTCCTCCTCCCCGCTAGGCGGTCGCCAGCGCTCCCTCCTCCGCTTCTTTGTCTTGCTGGTGGTGTTGATAGTGAAGACGTAGCCGGAGGGGGTCGTGGCTGGAGACCAGGGCTCACACGCCCCTCTTCCTCGGAGCCCCAGCCGGGCTAAGGAAACTCCTGGGCGGCTTCTTCAGGCTCTTGCTCTGCTTGGCAGAAAATCTGATGCGGCCCAGCCTCACCCAGACTCTGCCTCCAGCGGACCCCAGGTAAACTGAGTTTGAGACCCCTGCCTTAGACCATTAAAAATCAAACAATCAATGAACTTTTGTGGATCAAAGTATATTTCCTTAGGTGATACACCAATGTCTTGTAGATACTACAGAAAAATGATATGAGTCCCAAAAAATCATGGAAAATGATTGTGCCAGGCTTGTTCCTTAGAGATGAGTTAGAAAAATACAGGGTGCAATGGAAGTGTGGTTTTCATACTACTTGATTATAGTCAGGTGTGGGTATCAAGGTTTGAAAGGGGACATGGTGGTGCTGCGGGTTAAACCGCAGAAGCCTCTGTACTGCAAGGTCAGAAGACCAGCAGTCGTAAGATCGAATCTACACGATGGAGGGAGCTCCCGTCGCTTGTCCCAGCTCCTGGCAACCTAGCAGTTCAAAAGCATGTAAAAATGTGAGTAGATAAATAGATACCACCTCGGTGGGAAGGTAACAGCATTCCATGTCTTAGTCATGCTGGCCATGTGACCACAGAAACTGTCCTCAGACAAATGCTGGCTCAATGGCTTGGATGAGCACCACGCCCTAGAGTCGGACACAACTGGACTAAATGTCAAGGAGAACCTTAACCTTTACCTATCAAGGTTTGAGACTTAATGTTGTACAGCTGTTGTACATGATGTAACCTTGTGTAAGCAGAAAATGAAGTAATGTATTTTCTGATTGGTCCCAGAACTATTTATCAGTCATGTGTACAGAGATCATTTCATCTGCTATAAGTCACCTCACTTATTTCTATGCTACGTGTTGTATCAAGTCATGTTATGCTGCCATATGAATGTCTATTCTCTCTGTATATATGTTAATAGACTACGTTGATATTTTACTCTCAGTCTTTGCAAACTGATATCTCCTAACTCTCCTTATGGTCTGAGAATACACGTTCAACCAAAATTCTCGACAGGGTTATGGGCCCAGAAAAAATTGGGTTTTTTTTTTTGTCTGAGAGGAGAAAGCACTGGCTGTATTATTACCTACTGGCTGTGTTTCCTTCAGTTTGCAGGCTGATGTTAAAGAGTCCATCCATCTTGATGGTGTAGGGTTGCAGCTTTTTTTGGTATCTTCATAAATTCATTTGTTTTGTGTAAGGACCACATAGTTCTCTTTATCTTTTTCAGAACTATGGAGATACCAGAAAAATCTCTCTATTATTGTCAGATATAACTTCAGCTGTGCCTTTAGTTGTGGCTAAATTTATCATTTGGTGTCAGATTTTAATATTATGCTCAACAGATAAAACAACCGAGCAAACATACTGTATTAGAAAACCATAGAATTTAATCTATCTACTTGAGAATAGCCTCTGTGACAACGACACACACATCACTTCATCACAAATTATCAATTTTATGTATAAATTATGTCTTGTATGAAAATACACTGAAAATCCACAAACAGAGAAAAAGAATAAGCTTATACAGTATATGGTCCCACTGGTATGGGACCATATACTGTAAACAATAAAATATTCTAAGTTTCTCTTCTACACACCCAAAAACAAAATATAAGCTGCAATACTGCTTGTCCATGTTCTTTGTAAAAACACCTTCATCTTTGGCTCAAGTAAGGCTATTTGATATACAGTACTATTTAATAAACAGAGATGTTTCCCAAGGTCTTTTCTTGGGCTGATAATGTGTGCTTACCTTTCTGAGGGCTTGGCTTCCGCATTATACTGCCTGTTGCAGTTGCTCAGTCTGGAACTGGTTCAGGTTTACTAAACTGAAGTTATCTAGGTTAAAAAAAAGGTGTTCCAGTGATGGTGTCAAAAATTTCAAGCACAGTAAGTTACCTTTCATTACAAGACTTCAATAAACTAGGCATTAATATCAACTAATACTTAAGTTTTTAAAAGGTGCCAAAACATCATCAAGATTCTTGCATTTCATATTGCTAGAGAGGGGGTGGAATTCCAAAGATAATGTATAGTAACAGAAAAGGACCACCTCCTGGTTGCTTTGAAACATATATATGCAGATGCTGAAATCTTGTTCTGCAGCTCTTTGACACGGGAAATATAGACCCAAGGTGATGGTGATATTAAGAAAATATCATGTTGAACTTGGTCTAACAAGACAGTGAAATCCCATGCAGTTATTTTAACAAGCTTGTAACAGGCTGTCCCATTCATTGCCTCCTTGACAGGGGCTGTTCTTGATTATTCATAGGGTCCCTTCCAGATCTGCAGTTCCAAGATGATGATGATGATGATTAGGGTCCAGACTATCCCTATCTGGAAATGGCCACAGCTGACATAATCAAGTAAAGCAAAAGAATACTGCATACTGAGACAGCAGCAGTTGCTATCCATTTCTCTTGATATGCCAGCTGCAACCTTGTTTGTAGAAAGCCAAGCTGCCTTCTGTTATCCATGCTTCCAGCTTGTTTAACATATTCCATTTGGAAATCCGTTTCTGGAATAAAGCCAGCTGTCAAAATCAGGTTCAATGCATTTCAATGGGGGGGGGGGAAATTCACCAAAAATTAACGAAGAGTCAGAACAAAGCCAAATTAAGTTTGCACAAGTTTTACAAGGTGCTCTAACGAATCCAAGCATTTAAAACAGTTTCTGACTCTTCGTTAATTTTTGGTGAATTCCCCCCCCCATTGGAAAGCATTGAACTGCAGGTTTGACAGCTGTCAAACTTAGGTTCAATGCATTTCAATGGGGGAAAAATTCAACAAAAATTAATGAAGAGTCAGAACAAAGCCAAATTAAGTTTGCACACGTTTTAGAAGGTGCACTAACGATCCCAAACATTTTAAACCATTTTTGAACCTTTTAAGACATCGCTAAGCGAAACAGGGGACCTAAAATTGTCATTGCTAAGCGAGGCAAGGTCCCGAACATCGCTATGCGAATTTTCCCCATAGGAAACATTGTTAAACGGAGTGCAAAATCGCTCCAAAAACCTCATCGCTAAGCGAATACATCGTTAAACGAGGCAATCGCTAAGAGAGGCACCACTTTAAGCCATTTGAAGCTGGAAGGGAGACAATCTAGTGATGAAATATTATCCGTTTGCTTTAAAATGCTACTTTTTAATGACTAATATAAAACTTGCACTCTAATACGGTACCCCAGCAACTTTCAATGTAAAGCTTAAGGCTGGTAAGAAATGGATGACTCCAATGTTAAGTTCAAGCAAACAAATGAATTGGTCCCACTAATTTCAGTGGTTCTCCTATAGACAAGAAGAACATATTGTATACCTGCTTTAAAATACTGTATAGGTCCCAAGTGAGTTCTTATTTTTGGTCAGAAATATTTATTTATCATCTACTACCTCATATATTTACTCAAAATAAAATTTTGCTCTCAAACATGTGTGCACAGAATCACAGCCTCAGATTTGTTATACTGCAAAGGCCATAGCGTAAAGCAAGATTTGAAATACCAACCATAAAAACAAGCACAATAGTCACATTAATTACCTTATATTAAATTTCATTAATAAAATTTAATTATCACTTTATTAAATTACAATTTTATTAAATTAGAATTCTATTGAATATTGAGTTATTGTTAGCTGTGTCCTGAAAGACAGAGAGAATTAAATATGACTTCAGAGATTTGTTGCATATGTGTATACTTGTCCAACTGTAAAAGAAGTTTGTATTGTTCCAAAAACATGTTTGTCAAATGTAAATCATCAGCAAACTAAAAACTGTATGTCTGTGTAATCAGAATTGTGCACATCAAAAGCATTTTTGTTATTTCTCTGAATTATTCCTGACGAATCTTTGGCTACTAACCAACAAAAAAAAAAGAATATAATTCAGAGATGGCCACAAGCTTGAAAGATGGCAGGGTTTCTAAGAATTTATTTTAGTGCTCATATCTAAAAGACTGAAAAGGAACTTAAGAATAAAGACCAGGCAGCTCAGTAATGTTCATCTTAAGTGTATACCAACCAGCTAAGTGGCTTTCATCAGCATCTCAAACAGCTTATCTGGAATCTGGAGAAAGGAAGCAACATCCACTTCCTAGAATACAAAGGGAGGGGGGAATAATTATCAGAAAAGACATCCTACAGTCTTCATGTCAGCAATTATTTCAACTTTTCTTCCTGGATAGAAATGGGCGTATGTAGCACACATGGGGTATATATGCGCCCTGAGACTTAAAGGGAAGCACATTCAATCTTCGCCACCATCCAGGAGCCCATGACCTGCTTCTATAGTGCATGTGCTGTTAAGACAACAACAACAAAGACTAGCCTACCAAGCATCCAACATACCCACACATTAGAAACTATAGTCTGTTCCAACTGTCAGTATCTTGAGACTGGACAACAAAACAGATGCACACTGGTCCATTATATTAACCAAAGGACAAAGTATACTTGTTTGTTTGTTTGTATGTATGCATATGTGGGTATATACAGAAAGTGAGTTTTGCTTTGTTGTGTTATTAACTGTCACATGAAAGCTATCTTAAGAATCAATTGATTAAAAGGCAAGTCATACATTTTCAAAATAAATAAATACAGGTGCTATTACCACTTATCCAAGTTATACAATTCACTGATCTCTTGCAGAATCCACTGGGAATTCACAGGAATAATTGGGACTTCTGAATCTAGTGCATATGCAAATACACCACAATATGAATCTGCAATGTTTTGCTTTCAAAGGAATATGCATTCTACACAAACCACATTACTACAGGTTTACACCTGCTTCCCTCAATTCATATCCATATACAGTACAGTGGTGCCTTGCTTAACGAGCGCCCCATTTAACAACGAATCTGCATAGCGATGTGGATTTTGCGATCGCAAAAGCGATCACATTGCGATGTTTTAAATGGCAAAGCATCGCATTACGATGATCGGTAAGCGTTTCACTTACCGATTTTCGCATTGCGATGTTTAGAAAACAGCTAATCTGCGGTTCCAAAATGGCCACCGGGTAAACAAAATGGCCGCCCGCAGCGTTTTTGCACGGTTTCCTCGCATACCGGGTGGCGAAAATAGCGGCCGTATGGAGGATTTCCACATAGCGGTAAGTTGTTCCCGCATAGGAACGCATTAATCATGTTTTAATGCGTTCCTATGGGGTTTTTTGCCCTGCATAGCGATGAATCCGGATAGCGACGATTTTTTTGGAACGGATTATCATCGCTATGTGGGGCACCACTGTAGTTTCTTACTGACTCACCCTACAATTTTTGTTAGAATCATTATATTTATAGAGCAATGTAGGTGAATGACTTTCTTCATCCTAGTAAGTTTAAATATTTGGCTATTGGAAAAAACAGTTTTTTTCTTTTTATCTCATCATAAAATCTGAAACAGCAACTTTCTCACTGAAACTTGACTGGCCAAGAAAACAGAGACCCCCCCACTACAGTATTCTGTGGGCTCATCTTTAACAGTAAAAAAGAACCAGAACTGAGCATGGGTTTAGGCTATCACCTCAACTTAATACAATCTAATACTGTACTAGTGCCAAAGACAACTCACAAAAGCTTCATTTCCTTCAGGATTCAACTTTGATATTGCTTTTCAATACCAAGTTTCAATCCTAACACATAAGAAACATTTTAAAATAAATGTTTTTCTTGGATCCGCAGTAAGGTGTCATCTTTCTAGAATAGTAGACTATAAACATTTTCTTCTTTAAAAATTAAATACAGCTGAAAACTGAAGTTTTTGCCTGAAGTCTACAAAGAAGGCAACTGCACAATATTTCTAAGCAGACTGTTCTATTCTTAGATAACCCTTAAGTTAGGAAGATTTCTCTAATATTTTGTTTCAATAAGTTTTCTTAAAGCAATTTCTTCTTCGCTATATTTAGTTGGCTGAAAGAATGATTGTCCCTTTTCTTTTTCCATAGAGCATAGTTTCACATATTTGTTTATTTATTTATTACCTTTCTTTGCTGTTGAGAAGTCAGCATACACAAGCCAGCAGTATCTCAACGAAGGACTGAGCAGACCAATACCTATTTGGTTTCATGAAGCTAGGTCCATAATGTAGGTTCAAGACATGGATATTTATTTCCATTTTTTAAAATTCTAAAACTTTTTGAGGGTGAGAGAAGGAAACGTTGGGTGAGGATCTTGAGAGGTGCTAAAGAATCAGTAGGGAAAGGAATATTCTTTTTCAATACAGATTTTTTTCCCATGCAACATAAGTTTTGTTTGTTTTAAAGGTTCCAATTTTGATATGCACACATGTGTAACATGTAGTCTGCCCCTAAATTTCTCAAGATAGAAAATATTTCTGTTCCATATTTTGGGAAACATTTTGGCAAACAGCTATTTTTGCTAATTGGCTACTGTACATCTGTAATCAGCAGACATCTTGGTAACAGCATTCATAAAGCCTACCCGTTCAGTTGTAATATAATAATCTGCAGAATACATCTATCAGCTAATATGGTATTCATTTTAATTTCTAGTCTGTCATGTCAGCTTAACACAATTTAATACTTTACTAAGATCCAAAGAAAAATCACTAGAACTTAATTTTATTGTATTTCATTTCTAGCCATCCAATACACACATTTAGCCAATATCTTAATCTTCTAGTCAAAAGATAATATGCCTCTTTTCCTGGCAGAGGTCACAAGATTCTAGAGTGTATTACTGAATGAATAGGCATAGAACACTAAATCCCAAACAACAACAAATTAATAGCTAAGGCAAGCCTATTAACTGACTATAAACTAGTACATTTCACAATTGTAATATCTGATACAATACATGCCACTGATTAAGTAATATGTGGAAGGAAAATACTGTTTACTTTAGTTGTATTTAGAAACTATCCGTTTCCCAAAATTCTGCCATACACTGACATGTTGTAATTCATGAGGAATTAGTAACACAAAGCCACACTAAAATTAAACACTAGAGATGGGGGTATTTGTATAAAAATACCCACGCACAGGTGGACATAACAAGGTTCCAGCCCCCTGGGGCCAGACGGTCCATTCACCATTCCACTGCTGCTGTGACCTCTGGGGAACCTTCCAATGGCAATCGGCTTGCCACTCCTGGCAGGAGGAGAGAAGACAAGCCTCCCTACTAAATCAAAGAGTGGCTCACCTGTGCAGGGGTGTTCATATTCGCATATAAATATGAATACCCTCATCTCTATTAAACACCAAACATAAAAATCAAACTCCTCAGGTTTAAAAACTGACATTTAAAAAATAAGAGATGCTCATTTGCTGATGAAATTTTCTACGTTGTAAGAGTGATACGCTTACACAAGCATCCTGAAATAAAATATCCATATGCTATGGAGCAGAAAATATATAGATTTATATTCTGCCTTTCAAACACAAAATATTGGCTGAAATCCAGAAGTTACAATCAGAGTAGGCCCATTAGATCAGTGGGGATTTGTTCCATTCTTTCAATGGATCTACTCTAGTTGCGACTTGCTATTAGAATTCAGCCAATTTATGTTATTTCTTAAACTTATGAACTATACAGTATTAATACTTATTAATTCTAGCCTAACTGTAACCTACCATTTGTTTAGGATCAGCATGCCAGACACTGGGGAAATATGTACAAGATTATCAGGGTCACGGTCAAGAATTTTAAAATGTCGGGTTGTACTTGTGTAGCTTTTTTAAAAAAAGTTAATCTGGTAATAATATTCACAATTTAGCCTCTACCCTCATGTCATCCTAGTACAGACCTATTCAAATCAATGGGAAATATAGTGCCCAATTAATTTGAACATTTGAATTTGAATGACAATCTGGAGTAAAGTAGGAGATATAATATGCAAAAGGTGCCAGAGAAACATCCTTTTCTATTGTGGTTTATCTGCCCAGTACCAGTTCTACCTTCTTTTTAGTGTCAGTTTAAACTTTTTATTTGCACAGGTATTTTGTTTTTCTTTCAGCAGAAATGGCACTGTTGTAGCTGAGTGAAGATATACTGTTTTTCTCCTTCTTAATTTAGACTGAAGTTTTATTATCTTTTATCACTAATGTGTTATCCAATGTGTCCTGAAACCCTCTTCTGTTTTAGTGTTCAAAGTACTAAACTAGGAACGGGGAGATCCAGAATAAAAAACCCTACTCAGTTACAGAAATCAGTGGATGGCTATGGACTAGTTACTATCTCTCAACCTACCCTTCCATACAGCCAGGATTGTTGGGAGAAGAAATGTGGAGTGAAGGATCATATATATTGCCTTGAGCTCCTTGAGGGGAAACAGCAGGATATAAATGTAAAAAATAAAACAAGCATATTCAGGATAGCTCAGTGGTTTAGGTATGTGGCTGCAGAGCCAGAGGTTGGGAGTCCAATTTCCCACTGTACCTCCTTCACAGGCCTGGACGACTTTAGCCATAGGATCCCTTCCAGCCCCATAATTCTATCATCATCATCATCATTATACTGCAGGAATTTGCCATCAGCTGCTCAAGCCTAGCAAAGGCTTTGGAGCTAGTAGTCACAGCCACATCACATGGCGACTAATTACATATATTTAGTTTTGGGTTTCATATACAGTAGCAGGATGCTCCAAAGAAGACCACCAGGCAAATAATAATAAAAAGGGTGGGAGAGTACTATAGGCTGATTAACAATAATTTGGGGGATTAACGTTCGACATTGGTGATACCTTCACCAGCACAGCACCCCATAAAAACGGAGAGGGCAGGTACCTTGCAAAAAGACGTTTTCGCACTAAACCTTCCATCCCAGTCCCCAAACAACTCCCTGAATGTGACATCACTTCAAACACGCGAAAGGAGGAACGGCAAGAAGGGGGCCCCGCAACAACAACCTCGTCTCTACGAGGTCAACCATGACAGAGAGATGTGGACCGGCCACTGTCACTTCTCCAAGACAGACTCTGGCTGGGCCTGCGATGGTTGAAGGAACCCCCTCCTTTCCACCCACCCACCCCCGGCTGAGTCAGGCTCTAGTCTTGCCGCCGCCAGCGTCCGGCCTAGGCAGCTGCTTCTTCCCCTGACCTTCCAAGCCTCCCGCCCACTTCCCGGCTCACCTGCGACCAGCCGCCGTGTGCTGAGGCTCCGGGACTCTCTCAGTCCCTCGCCACCGTTATTGCCGCCGCCATGTTCCGAAGCGCAGTAAGCGAAGGAGGGAGGAGGAAGGAGGAGAGGGAAGGAGCCCGGCTGCCGGACCCGGCGCCGCCCCCTGCCGCCTGAGGACGCTCGGGGAGCCTGGCCTGTCAGGAAGAAAGCAGGAAAACGCCGAGATAGCTCAACTCCCTCCTCGCCCTCCCCCGCCCCTCCTCCCGCTTGGCGGGAGCAGCGCCGCGGCCTCAAAAGGCGGCCGGGAAGATGAGGAGGAGCCTTTCTTTCAGGCTGAGCAACGACGGCTGCATCAATCCGAGGCCTTTCTCTCCACAATTGTGCTCACAGTGTTGCGGTGACAGTCTTGTCACATTTCCTTTCATGCAGCATCTCTGCCCTTCTCCTACACACATATCCACCACCGTGAATCGTTACAGGATGAATTCCCACGTCCACACATCCAATTCAAACCAACCCATACACTCGCCAGATCAAAGTCCCGCCAGTCCACGCCGTCGCTCTGTTTCGGAGGCACACTACACTATCTGTTTCCTCATATCTGTCCGTGATAAATAACTGACAAGCCCCTTTCAGACTTGGTAAGGACTGTGTATGTCTGTTTGAGCAGCGGGAGGGACTGGCAGCACGTTCTCATAAACACACACACAAAACAGATATGCGTGTTCATGAAAATGACTGAAAGTAGACTAATGTCACAGTACATGGCACTATTTTGGAGTGGCGAGGCGCCTGAATCATTCATTCTGCTTGAAGAGGCTTGTATGTGCAAACTCTAAAAGCACACATTGCACATCCGGTTGTGCTTGGCAGAGCTCTCAGAATTAAAGAAGTCTGCTTAGACACAAAAAAGCTTCTGAAAAATAAAAGGGAGTTAGTGTTATAGGTAATACATCAGCGGTTCTTAACTTTTTCTTTATCACTGAACCCCTTTAATATATATTTTTGTTGCTGTGGACCACCAAGACTTAACTCAAAATTTAAAACTCTAATGTGCATCAAATATTTAAAGTTTCTCATGAAGGGTCTTCAGATTTGGAGAGAAGGGAGAATTAAGTTAATCTGTCAATGCACACATTCCTATTATATTTTTTAATTGGAATGATTCAATACAAATTTAGAATCATCATCACACCTCATCTACTTGCATCATACAAAGGAAAAGGACAAAGTACTTTTTCTAGGCACAGAGTCAGAAGTCCCCTCTGCAGCTGAGCTCAATTCCAACCAAGTTACTTCTGGGAGGCTCAACTACAATCGTAGTATTTTATCTTTTCTTCCTTTGACTGGATGTCAGTAATACATGTCTGATTCAAAATTCCTCATCCATTTTTCTGATACGTTCAGAGCCCCTCCACAGAGTCCCAGGGTGTTTGATTCTATATACAGTGGTGCCTCAACTTACGAACCTAATTGGTTCTGGAATTCCGGTCGTAACTCGAAATGGTTGTAGGCTGAAGCACCATTTCCCATAGTGATGCATTGAAACATAATTAATCCATTCCGACCAAAGGGGAGGTGAAAGAAAAGCAAACAAACCGTGCAAGACCCACCAGAAATGCAAAAATATCAAAGCAAAAAGCAAACAAGCCGTGCAAGACCCTTCGGAAATCCAAAAAAAGCAAAGAAGAAAGCAAAAAAACAGTGCAAGACACATAGGAAATGCAAAAAAAAGCAAACAAACCCTGCAAGACCCATTGGAAATGGGGAAAAAATCCAAAAGTAAAACCCCACAAGACCCATCAGAAATGGGGGATAAAAAAACAAAAAACAAACAAACCCCGCAAGACCCATTGGAAATGGAGGGACAAAAAAACACCAAAAAACAAACAAACCCTGCAAGACCCATGACAGCACAGAAACATAATCCCACCACCCAGCCCAAAACCACGCTGCAAAACCCACCCAGAACAGTTTTTAAAAAGCAGAAAGCAGCACATTACCAGGCAGTCCAAAGCCTCCTCCAATCACACTCACTCTAACTGCTGGGGCAAAAGAGCTACAAAGAAGCAGCTCTTCACCTACCAACGGTTAGCAATTTGAATTCCCCATCTTTTTCCCTGCCTTTTTCTGTTCTTAACTGGAAGCTCCAGCCACAAGCCGGAGCAAATTTTTAAAGCAAAATTTTGCTGCTGGAGCTGGTCATAACTCAAAATGGTCATATGTCAGGATGTTCATAAGTCCACTGTAATCATTTATCAGTGTAGGCAATCTGTGTTTGGAGCAAAGGGGTGTTTCACTCTTGCCCCGACCTTGGGCACTGCAGAAGAGATGGGCCGTACCTGACAGCTTTACCCTTCCCCTTTTTATATTAGGCATCCTTCAGTCTTGAGAAACTATGGTAACATGCTCAGAACAGAGTACTTGGAACAGTGTCTAGTGTGGCTGAGAAGGCCAATTCGAGAGTGACAATTCCTTCCACATTGAAGACAAATACAGTCTGTCCCCTGTCAGGCTCCCTGCTTTTGCTGGTTTCAAGACTGATTCTTTGCCTTGACCTGCTGGACAAGTGTCTATTCAAAATGCGAGAGGGCATGATGCACCGCCTGCCTCCAGGCTGAACGCTCAGATGTCAAGGGTTCTCATCTGTTGAGATCCATTCCTAAGGCCTTCAGATCCTGCTTGCAGATATCCTTGTATCGTAGCTGTGGTCTCCCTCTGGGGCTATTTCCCTGCACAAATTCTCCATGCAGGAGATCTTTTGGAATCCGGCCCACAGCCATTCTCATGACATGCCCAAGCCAGCGTAGACCCTTAGCTATGTATTATTCTAGCTTCTGAAGGGATCCTATGTGTGTATCAGCCTGTAAATAAAGAGAATCTTTATGAAGGAAACAGGAATAGAATCCTAGATCAGTGTTTCCCAGCCTTTTCTCAGCCGCAACCCCTTTCATAATAGCCAAATAATCTGCCACCCCTCTGCCAAATCTGCATAAAAAAGAGACCACCAGGAAGCTTCTCCACTCATGGGCAGCTGGGTGGAGCTCAGTCTCACACAACAAGCCACAACAAAGTTCTTCCTGGTCACTTGTTGTGAGACTTTGCCCAGCTGCTGCCACCACCTCCTCCTCTAATGGGCAGCAGTGGCCACTGTTTCCACTTGCTGCTTTGCTGCTGCCCCCATGGAGGAGGGAACTGGCCAGAACAGAGAGCCTTTGTTACCACTACTGCTACTCCTCACTGTGATCACGGTCAAAAATGACCATGACATCTCCCCAAAAAACACTGATATTTGCAGTGGCCTTTTCTCATACAGCAGCCAAAATCCAATTAGTGGATTGCACTTGTGTAAGTGAAATGGTGTAAGCCATGGCAACAAATTGCTACTAATTAACAAGGTACTGGTTGTGTTCTTGGGTTGCATTTTAGGTAACAAAATAAAATGTCTTCATTTTTCATTGTAATTTACAGAGAAGTGTGTGTTATTTTGTCTAGGGTCTCTGAGAATCAATCTGCAGCAGAGAACAAATTACTCTGTTTATATTTCTCATATCCAGTCACTCCATGAGGGAGTAGTTACCATATTTTTCCATGTATAAGACACTACATTTTCATAAAATCATTACAATAAAAATTGAGGGGTGTCCTTTACATGGAAGTAAGCTGAGGAGAGAACAAAATGGCACACATCTTGCCTCTGTAAACAAGCTTCCTTCAGTCAGGAGGCTTAGTTTCCTACAGTCAGAAGACTTAGCTTCCTCCAATCACAAGCCTTAGGGAACTGACATCAGCTGATGCTGTATAAACCAATTGGAACACACCTCGTTGGAGGTGGAACCTATAGGCAGTGCTCATTGTGACAAACCCAGACCTACTGGGATCTGCCACACGTTAACTAAGCTGCCACCAACCATTCCCTATAAGAAGTCACACCGACCAGGGATGGATTTTTAACAAATAAAAGAATAAGGTTTATTTAAATACAACACACAGGGAAAATAAAATGATCAGGTGAATAAGATAAAGTAACGTGGCTTATTCTCATTCATACATGCATACAGTTTGGTTCACACAGAACCCTTAACTTGAAGCACAGACCCTGAACCTATCAGTTCTGGCTAACCAACAGACACCTGAACCTATCAGGTTGGTACTCTGACACACAGTAGTACCCTGTCTGACACACAGACTCCCACAACAGCTTCTTCTTCCCAACTGCTGCTTCGTCACATCCCAGTGTCTCCTCTTCACCACACAGGCTTCACATATATATACAGTACAGCCCCTCCGCCTGATGTCCCGCCTTCCACTCCCCATAGGATGGAACTTTCCCTCCAAACCCATGACAGACAGGTAACATCAGTGCTGTATGTAACACCTCCCCTCTTTATAAGTTGTTTTGTAGGGGGAAAGCTAAGGTGCTTTTTCCCAAAAAAACAACCTGGATAAAATACAC